TGATTGCTTTCGTAATCGTTTGTAGCACCGATAGTCCAGTCGCGGACTGCAAAGGACTAGTGTAGATTAGATGGACTGCATGCTTGGGGACCGAATGTACTGAATGTGTTGCTGTTTTTCATCCTTCTTGGGACCTGATGGCGAAGGTAGTGGCGAAGGTCAAGGTCAGATCACTTTGCTGACTCTCACGCAGCAGCGTTGCGAATTGGCTTCTTCTCAGGGGAGAGTCACTTCAAACTCCGCCAGATGAGTTGCATCAAACAGTCGTCCGACAGACCAGCTGTCCGGGTGAACACCACGGCGAGCTGCCACCGCTTGGACGGGCAACGTTTGTTCCGGCAACGACGAGCTGCAGGAGGATGACATCACCTGGTGTGATTGCGAAAAGGCAAGGGACCCTCACTTTCATCACCTTTCTCAAGATAGGGATAGGGCCCCCAGTGCTCATGGTTGTATTTGCTTCAAGATCTTATTTTACTTAGACTTAGACTTCAGAAGCTGAATTTTCATGAATGGTTGAGCCAACAAGCTGCGACGGGTTCTTTGCAAATCCAGAGTTGAAACAGCTGTTTCACATTGAATAAGGTGTGGTAAGTTTGAATTCTGGTTCATTGCCAGAGGTGTTTTTCATCACTGGCTTATACCTTACCAGGAGGTGATGTTCAGTCCAAGAAGAGATGCTAAGCATACATCATATACAAGCGGGCCTTGGCCTCGACTGCGCAGAGAGCGCGTTGGCCCTCCCTCCCACCACATGAGGTCCACCTGTGACTCGGGGGCAAAGCCAGAAATAAGGTTTCCGGTTCCAACCTCATCGCCCTGGTTGGCAGGGTTGGATATATCCCAGAGGGTGCAGGATCAGGTCCATTTGGGGTGCAACCTTCGTTTGACTTCACTGTCTGGGGTCAACAGAAGTCACCAGCATCATGTATCATGATAGCTCGACTTGTGGACTTCCTCTCAGGGGAAATAGTATGAAATAGTCACTGAAGTTCCGCCAGATGAGTTGGATCAACCAGTCCAACGCGAGAAACCAGCGAGGGCTCTGAAAGAACACTTGCTAGCATTGCCTGCAATTTCCAGGTTCCGGCAACAAGCCGTGCTTCAAATGCCACATGATCCCAACGTGCTTGATCCATGAACAGACCAGGCAGCCATCCATGTGTCAGCTCAGAATGGCCACTGGGAAGTGGTACAGCAGGTACTGGAAGCCAAAGCTGACAAGGATGCTGCCACAAAAAAGAAGTGCAAAACAGCCTTGCAGTTGGCAAGCTGGCATGAGCATCTTAGAGTGGTGCAAGGGCCACTGAAGGCAGGGGCCGAGATTGCAACACAGCTTTGCACACGGCAAGGTGGGCAGGGTACACAGAAGTGGTGCGAGAGTTGATAGGTGCAGGAGCTGACAAGAATGCTGCCGCCCAAGATGGAGGAACAGCTTTGCACTGCGCAAGTATGAATGGATGCGAGAGTTGCTGCTGACAGGCGCTGACGCTGACAAGTCAAGACGGCTACACAGCTTTGTGCGGCGCTACTTGTAGCGCGAAAGGGCACTTGGAAGTGGCGCGAGAATTGCTGCACGGAGGAGCTGACAGGGCTGTTGTTGCAACCAAAGATGGATACACGTTTGGGTTGCTGCTGGAGTTTTAACAATCAGATACCTGTCAAACAATACTGAGCAGGCTTGCACAGAACAGCTTGTTGCATGTTGTGCAAAGGTTGCTGCAGGCAGACAACATATGGAGAGGTTGTCGAGATGAAAATGCAGATACACGTCGACGCGGATTTTGCAACAGATCCCAATTGTTGAACTCCACCAAAAGTTGAAAGGCGCCCTAGTGAAGGAACATGTTCTTCCCACTCTGACAGGTCATCCATGTTTACCTGAAGGTTGACTAAGCAGTGACATAATACATAAAACATATATGTATAAGTTCAAGTAGGGCCACCTCCTTGATCTCCCCTAATACCGTTCCAGGCCATCATGCGAGATCATTTCAAATCCAACATTCCCAATGGAACGGGTTTCAGCGCAGGTACGAGCTCCGCAAGAATCAAACTTCCGTGCAGTTCCCAGCAAAACGTCGCTGTTCGCGACGGTGGCAGTCGTTGCATGTGAGGGTCACCTTTGGGTGGGTCCTGACAAGAGTCAAAGATCTACAGAGACCGTGTTTTGTTGTGCTAAAACGGTCCATGGATAGCAAAGCACACATCCAACTGAAAGTTCCTGGGGGACTTGGAACAGGGTGATCTCGATGGCGAGTGGTGTGTGTAGATGTTTGTTTTTCCAGTGGCGTGATGCCTAGCGGCTATGATTCTCAGCATGCTTTGGACATTTTCCCAAAAGATCGCCGGGCAGACCCCAACCAGCAAGTGTGATTGCCTGAGAAACGCTCCACGTTTTCAGTCTTCGACGCAGTTGCTGACCCCATGGGGGGCTTAGGCCATCTCTTTCTCCAACAGTGCGGATAGCAGCATGTTTGTGATGGTTTGCGAGGCAGGTCGATGTCCGGCCTAGTCTGGGAGTTGCGGAGTCCGGGTTGATGTGGGTCAAAACCGCCCCGACAGCATGTAGCTTGACTGTGTACAGTTCTGTTCTTGTTTATATTTATATATACACCCGGTATATATATATATACACCTCAACTCCCCTGTACCCACCTTTCAAGGTGAATGGCGGTGGGAAGCGTCGCAGACAAAGTCACGTCGGTAGGTCAACCAAGATCTCCTGGTATCACTGTATACCAAGGGATGCTGAGGCTTGCGCGTGGAGTGTGTCATTGGTCGTCGTGTTACCAAGATCTGGCGTTGACCCACAGCCATATATGAGGTTTGTCTTCTTTCATCCCAACCAAAGTGGAATACCTGGGGCAATCCTGGGCATCGACTCACGGGATCCGGAGCGAGCAAACACGTGGGATCCTGGAACACGGTGCGTTCAACTACCCCGGGTTCCAGTATTAATGTGTTACTCCGTGTTACTGCTCACCCTTAAAAGGGAGAATCATGTAGAATGTAGACTGTTGATTAATAAACCCGCCCTTTTGAATTGAACAACCTCTTTACATGGGGGGGTTCATATTCAAGAGCCCACATTATGAGACCATTCCATGATCATCCGAGACATACGGAAACATGTTTGATGCTGTCGGATTGTTTGCTGGGACTTGAGGATGACGGCCAGCCGGAAAACGGAAGGACCAAGAGAGACCTGCGGTCGCCTTCCTTCGGTCCCTTCGGTCCCTGGTTCACGTTCGATTCCGTTTAGAAAAGCTTCACACACTCTATCGAGTGCCCCAATTTCAGCTGACGAGCCGCGAACGCCCAATTTCAGCGAAGGCCTCCTTTTTTACTTCTTTTCTCACTTGCTCAGACCTATGTGCTTCGATCGTGCCCACACCAGCATTGCTCACATGTCCCTTTTGGGCAGTGACGGTGACGGGTGGGTGTGCAAGGATGGTCGTCTGAGAGTCTTTCGCTACGCCACCATGAAGATGGTGCCAGAGCTCGGAGTGGTTGGAAGTGGGCTGTCGAAGTGGGATGCCCCCCCACTGATCATGAATGCGGCGGTCTGGGCTATGGGTCTAAAGTGGGGGGCACCCCGCTTGGCCACCCAAAATGAACACCTTCCTTCATTAGGGATGTGAACTTTTCATGCTTTGCCGGGTTTTCGTCGATCCTGTCGAAGGAGTTGATTGAAACATGGTTCACGAACACGTGGGTCTGGGCGGAATGTGAATAGATGGTCTGAGGATGTAGTCCTGACATGTGACTGGAACATGTCATGGGTGACCTGCAACTATCTGCAACTCTTCAGAGCCCGCCCCCGAATCCAAAGCTCAGCAATACAGGACCTGTTCATCAAGACTCACCAGAGTATGGGTATATAAGTGCCATCTGCAGAGTTGTACAGCCAGAACGATTGCTCTGCTGCAGGTGAGAGGTTCCCCCCGGAGTTCCCCCACTGTGACACGAAAATCCTCAATGGAATCATGTATCATTATCATGCATCCAGAGTATTCTTGGAAGTGCAATCCTGATTCCATAATTTGGTCTTATCCACCTGTGCGAAGGAATCATCTACTGTATAATCATTTATAACATAGACCATTATAGACCCCCAGTCATAGATAGAAAAGTAGATCCCCACTAAGAATCTATTGGATACCGTGGAACGTCTCTATTTGGAGAGCACTATCGCCGATAGACACTCCAAACAACCAGCCCTCCGGCCGTCACCGAGTTCTGCTCCGCTCGGAGCATAGCGGTCTGGCGGTCTGGCGCTGGTGGCGCCGGTTCCAAATCACCCGGTCTATGACGTGTCACTTCTCCAGTGATCACCCGGCTCACAGAAGACCCGGGCTATGAGTTCCGATTCGGAGGGGTTTTTGAGAAGGTTTTTCCACGGAACTTTCGAAGCTCCGAATTCGGGTTCCATCAGGGGGGTGGGTGAAGCGGCTGAGGTTCGTGCCTACGATGAATCCATGGAAATGTTTACAGCAGCTCAGAGCGATCCCAATATGGGGGGAGCTGCATTTGGACAGGCTCCGAGTCTGTTTCGGTGCGGGGATTCGAAGAGTGGTCGCCACGACTGATGGACATCTTGACCAAATGGGGCTGAAGATCCAGAGGTGCTGAGTGAAACGCCGGTGATTTCAGGACTGAAAAAGTGTGGCGACCATGAAAAGACATGATCAGAGTTCGGCCTGATTCGCTCGGTTTTCGGTCCAACCAAGGTAGATGAAGAGAACACCGACCCACGATGGAGGATGACTCCGAACCACGACGGGGTCGGTCCAAGAAAGGGGCATTTGAATAGGAAGACGCCCATTTGAGATGGCCCCTGGCTGGGGGGTAGACTGATGAATTGTCCCCTTTTTGAACCCAAGGGGGGGGTTGACTGGGAGGTCTCTGTGCTTTACACCGATGTGGTTTTTCCTTGCGGTCCGACGGTCGAATCGGCCAGGTTCGACTTCGGTCGGCGCATTGCGGTGGAAAAAGAGATGCGGAAGTCGCCGGCCGTGATGTACCAGCAGGTCGGCCGGGTGGGTCGAGAGTGGGAGGGGGGGACCTGTGAAGGTGGAGACCTGTGAAGGTGGAGACCAGTGAAGGCGTTTGGATGGATCAGATCTCGTCCTGGGAAAGACCAATCCAAAAGATTCCCCAAAGGTTTCTGAAATATAAGGTGCAGGATTGTTTGCCGGATTATTGGTAGATTGTCCAGGCCAAGTCGTCGTTTTGTTCATGTAGGCACCAAGCAGACAGTGATCTCCTTTCCGTGGGCTATTTTTTAAATGACAAATGGCGGGGAGAGGTTATTTGAGGATGCATTTGAGATCCCCGATGACATTTCCCCTAGGAAATGCAGGGCCCAGGCTCAGGTTCTTAGAATATCAACAGGGATTATTTGAGGCTATTTTAAGCAGGCTCTTCTCTGGCCCTGGCTCTTCTTCGGCCCTGTTCACAGAGGTCATAAGTTCAATTGCGCGTTCGCGGACCGCGAATAACCCATTGCGTTCCGCGGGAATGTGAAAAGCTGTTTCAGGCGGTCTTCGACGAGTCAGGGAACTTCTTGATCTTTACTTCGTTGGCTGCAGCCCCAAAAAATGCCAGGAGAGTGAGTGGGATTTCGTGAGCCAAAACGATCGTTTTTCGATTCCTGGGGATATACCCCCCAAACGACTTTCCAAACGACTGGACTAGACCACTGACTATATATGTCACTGTCCTTTCTCAAGAGCACCCTTGATCTACCGGGGATGTTTCTTTTTGACCAAGGCATTAAGCATCATTGAGCAAGACAGCACAAGTCCCTCTGCAGAGAAAGCCGATGTCACTCATGGATCTTTGAAACGAAACCACGATGCTCTGCTAGCTGATAGCTCGCGTCAGCGAGGTGACGCAAGGTTTCGGTCGCCACGAGCACGATCGTGCATCGTTCGTGTTGCTCTTTGTTTTTTTTGGGTGTTTTCCCTCCACTTCTGTTTCTGAGATTGGTGTGAAGATTGTGAACTTGCATACCAACAAGTTAGTGAAGATCCTTGGCTCGGGCTCCCAGTAAACCGCCGCCAACGGAAGGGCCCCCCATGAAAGGCACACCGGCTCTTGGGGTCTGGGCGATGATTTCTAGGTCACAGACTATAACTAAGAAGATTTCAGAAGCCACTCTTAGGTTGGCTTCTCGGAAGGAACAGCGCTCCAATTTGCCAGTGATGTGGCTTAAGAATGGATGAGGGTCCAGTTTAAGGCACCGTCCATATGTCCTTTTCCCAGACCCGCACACAATCTCCACGGGGCGTGCTGCTTTGGTTTCAACTCTTCGGTTTAGTAGGAATTGTCCCAATCCACTAGTCGACTGTACACCTTAGTGATGTGTGGCGTGTTTCTGGCATTAAGTTAAGGGGTTCACACGCTCTGGTAACTTTTCGTCAGTTCCTTGTTGGACTTTCCATCCCCCCCCAGTCATGGACGGCCTTGGCCGCCGGGCTTTGATCATCCTCGTGCGCCAACCCTCCGAGACGCGCTGGTGAAGGGATGTGGTGTGGTTGACTCAGCGGTGTCCGCGGCTTTTTTTGATGTTTCTTGAGGCAAAGTGGAGCAGACCGAACGCTTCTTGGGGATCGCCTTATATCAGGGGAAGGCGGTGAGGAAGAAGGCGACAGACGAGAGAACATGGGGCCTGCGAAGAGGAGGAATGCCTTGACGCGCTCAGGAATGGGAATTGGAGCTAAAGGCTGCAACCACCCTGTGCCAGCAAGATGGAGTTGTTGATTGGTGATCATGCCAAACTGAAAAAAGACTGGTGGGACGAGACTGAAAGACAGGTGCCACTCGTTTCGCACTCAACTATATAGTTCCAAGCTATCAGTGAAGCTTCAAGCGCAAAGCAGGGTATATAGTAATGGTACTCGTATGTAATAGTGGAGGCTGTTCATTCATTACGTAACCCCATGTTCAAGAACTTCGGGTAGACTACGTATTCTTGCCGTGGCAACCATTTCGTACCCACAGATTCTGCAGAGTCTTGTACCCATGACTTGTCATTCTGGCAAGGGTCACTTGCTCTTGATTGAAGTTCTCGTGCTGGGCTGACAAGAAAACGTAGGCAGACTTGAAAGGGCAAGGCTTGGTCTCGCCTGGCCAACATAGAATCGGCCAAAAGCAGAGATGTGTGATATCCTTTTTCCTGCAAAAAGCAGAGACATGTGTGAAAAGACATGTTTCAAAAGCAGAGATGTGTGAAAAGACGGCTCTAGTTGAAACCCTGTCTTTTCTGCAAAGACACCGAACTACTTCGGCATCGCGGAGCAGTCACAAGGGGCTGGTCTCCGCTCCGGTCACAGTCTGACCTGGGTCCGGACTCGCGGCTTGCCGCAGGCCGGGTTGGGCGAGTCCGTCATTGAAGGTGAGAATGACCAGAAGGAGCCGCGAAGCGAACCGTGCAACAAAGCCGTTAAACGGAGCCCGGAGGTGGGAGAGGGCGGTGGGGAGCGAAGCGAAGCGAGTCGAGTCGAGTGATAGAGCGAGTCTGGGGAATTCAAGGAACAGGTCAACTATTTGAGCAAGTATTTCAATGTATTTCATTTGAGAGACTATCCAGGAGGATACTTGCTCAATATAACTGAAGTCTGAATATTAATAACCAACTTGCGTTCTAGAGTTTCTTTTTTTTGAGAATGCTGTTGAACACAGTATAGAAGCTTATTGTTTTGATGTCATGTGCGCACCTTTTTTTCTTGACACAAGACTAGACGGAGTCGGAGACGAAACGTACCCGCTCTTTGAACAGACCGAACCCGTCGCAAAAAAGGGAGGGGGTCCCTCACCCGTTGGTTGAAATACGCGGCACAGCGCGCGTATTTTCCTGGTCACGGAGTCACCTGGGACTGCATATCGTCTCAGATCTCGCTCTCGTTGGTCCAACAACGCCAGCGACGCCGGACGAAGAGGTGCGTCTCGTCCCACACCGGTGCCATCCATCCCGCAGCATGTCCCACAGCATGTCGCCTATGTCCAAAGCTGGGAGGCCCGGGAGGTATCCGGACCTTGTTCAACGTGTTTGTTTTTGAAAAACCCACGGAGGGTGACAGGAGGGGGAACTATGAAAAGAAACACCCACATCATCCACCCTGGCAGGGAACTGCCGCTGCCCTTCGTGCCGGTGCCCAGTCCGGCGCCCAGCCCTTTCTCGCGCCGTGCCCCCGCGGAGGAGTCTGCGGATCCCATTGCGATCGTGACCGCGTACAAAAAGAACAGGCGGCGGCTGACAATATAAAGAACGGGCAGACGGCAAGTCGGAGAGGGGGAAAAGAACGATATAAAGAACGGCCCAAGTCCAAAACCACCCAACACCTCAGATTCGACGGAGTTTTGTTGTTCTTTTCCGGAGAAATCCACTGAGCGAAAGCTCCTCTTTTTGGCTGGGTGTCACAATATGGTTGCAATTTGGGGGTTTGATGGGGTTTGCTTCCTTTCAACCTGCAACGAACTGAAGAAAGCTTGAGATGGAGCGTGCTTTCTACTGCAAAGCCCAAATGGAATCCAATAGACCCATTCTTCAGCGCCTACCTACGAAGCAGTCGAGACTTAGCAGCGGAGCTGCTTCTGACTCGCCCCCGACCGGGACCGTGACCGGGCAGGTTCTACCTGTTCAGTACTCGAGAGCCACCAGAGACTCGGAGCGAACGCCACGCGAAGTACGGGAAGTACTTGGGCGAAGTAAGAGCGGCAGGGCCACGTGGGATTGGCGGGCCAGGGCCGCCCAGAATGTATTCTTTCTCCACTGAAAAGGCCCCCCGTTTGCAGATGGATTTGGCATAGCAAGAGAACCAACCCTCAGGCCATTGAGACCCACCGGTTCCCCTAATGTTGTGGAGACTCGATGGCATTTTTGCGACACGATGAATACTTCTGCCGAGCGTTCACCCAGCGACATGTCTGCGTATGGCGTACGCTCGTTCCGGTGGACGCTCGTCACGTGACAGTGGGGTCGCTCACACGATGCCGGGACCTCTTCGAGCTGAGGAAACGACGGCAGATTTGGGCCGAGACATCTTCAATGAGAAGCCAAGCAAGGTGGGAGCTGCCAGCTGGTGCAAAATCACGGCAGGCTCATAGACATCTCCCAACCTGACTTGGAACAGCCTGCACCAAAACAGAAGGAATGAGCATTCGGCGACGATGGCGACGTCGCGGCTGTGGCCCGAGAACCATGTTCAGACGTGTCCAAGGCATTAAGAATCTTACGATTAATAACCATTCTTTTTCCAAAAGCCTTGGTACAGACCACCTTGCTGTTCGTAGTACAGTAAGCAAGTATCTTAAGTTCCAGTGCCCACACCATCCCACACCTATATGACTCTGGTTTTGCAGCGGACTCTGGTGAAGGAAGCTTTCGCATGTTCGAGAGAACACTGCCATATCGCGGAAGCGGGGCTGTGGGTCCTGGATTTGGTGGGTCAGGATCAAAGCAAAGTAATGATTGATGTTGAGACCCTGGAAGTCCAAGACCATTTTTAAAGTGGTTGATCTGGTTTTGTCGTGTAAAACCCTTATATAGTAAAACAATGGTTGTTCGGTATTCAGGCTATCAAATAAATTGTGGTTCGACCTCTAGGGGAGATACAGGTGAGGTGGTGCTGTGCGCATCTTAGCACCGTGCTTCATCTTAGCACCGATATACAGCTGTTGCAGGAAGATGCAGCTGTTGCCGCCTCTATCAGGCGGGCGTTGTTTATCAATTGAGGGAAGATCACCTGTTGACCATATAGATACCTTTTTTGGCTACTGCCGCCCGCCACAGTCTTTGGTGACCACATTGATCCATGTCGATCAACTATCCCGAGTGCATGAGTGTTCCAGCTCTTTAGACCTACTTCTCCACGGCTCCCTCCTTTCTGCACTTGGCACGTCTCAAACATCATCAAACATCAAGAATCAACATCCCAAGCCGCAGCGCAGGACAGAGAATCCTTTGGGGAAGCAGGCCACGATTCATACCACCATGGGGGACATCGTCGTGAAGCTCTTCCACCAGGTGGGCGCGACGTTCACCCGGCGCCGTTGGGAGCGAGTTTGGAGCGGTTTGGGGCGGGTGAGTTTGAATGTTTTGGGCTCCTCCAAAAGGTGGCCAAAGAGGCTGCGTTTTTGTCCGTTTTGAGTCATCCGGGTTAGATTGGTCGAATGGTCTTTCTAATCCTTCTAGAAGCGGCAAGCGACATGCATCCTATATTTGCTTGCTCAGATTGCCTATGTAAGAGTCTTCCTAGAGCGCTTCTTGTCAGCTTCCGTCAGATGACATTCAAGATTTAAATTCTAATGATGAGCAATGGCCCTCTTTGAACGAAATCGAACTCTGAATCGCCTCAGAATTCCTTGAGGGGTCGGTTGATGGTGCCAATCTCTTTCCCATCATGATCCACTCGTTTTTGTTCAACGAGGATCCAGCCTTCAGACAAATCTTACCCTCCCTCAGACAATCATTTAAGCTGACAGGCCACTTGTAGAAGAACATTGTCTTCCAGGGGCCGAACTGTTCCACTTCCATGATTGTTTCGGGGAGTGTATCGTAATTATGATCACTTATCGTATTTCCGTATCTATGGGCATCACAGACATGATGTTGCCTCAAACTTTCTTGCGTTAGATACAGACAAAGTCCTTCTAAGAAGTTGCTCATTGCCATGGCTCAGAAGCAGGGTGCCATCTACCCCTGGTCAAAAGAAGCATCTTCTGTTTTGGCCCAGCAAGATCAAACTATGGCATGGCAGTTTTAAAAACTTGCTGATGCTGACAATCGGGGCCTCAATCCCTCAATCCCTAAAGCCCTCAGCACCATGTCTATGGAGCTTTTTAAAATCTATTCAGCTCTATGGCGCAGAAGCGCAGGGACCTGACAAGTCCCTGCAGTCACAGATCCATCCAGCTTTCTCAGGAGTGTCCGAAGTCGGTGGAGAATTTCACGGTGCATTCCAAGAATGGCTATTACGCAGCCATCTGAGTGAGCAATGCAAACATCTAGCCTGAGTGTTTCGGTGAAGCGTAGTGCACTATAGTGGGATGTGAAAATTCATGCTTGGGGTGTCAGTGATTTTGAATAGTCGTGCGACATGGTGCAAGTACACTCCAGCGTGCACTTGCTCTGGAGATGTAAAGAAGACTTTCACTTCAAATTCTTGCTATCTGTGACCTAAGCCGCTAGCGTTTCACTTGAATATCGGCACCAGCAAAACACAGTTCAACATGTTCATCATTGTTCAAAGAGCATCAAGGCCACATGATCGCTCGGGTGGATCATCTACGCAAAAGATCACCCTCCCTCCAACAGACATGGAAGTGGAACATGGCCCAGAAAGGAAGACGGTTTTCATCTACTAACAGGCCGTCTTCCACTGGGAGGGCACTATGTATCACTGTTTTTTGGGGAAAGGTATACTAACCATGATCCATTGTTCCTGATGATATGATGTAATATGACATCTACTGTATCATCTATGTAACGGTCCAGCTGTCTGAGGACAATATCATCTTCCACCGAGTCATTCAGGCCCATGTCGGTGTTGATGTTGATCTTCCAAGCCGAAACACCCGAGGCACTGTTTGAAAGACTTCGGCGATCGTGTCCGGCGATTCCTGAAACGAAGGAAGACACCGAAACTCGATCGAGCTTCGAGGATAGGCACGAAGATAGTTTTGCCAGAGTCAGATCCACTGAAATTCACATCGACCATCTGTGAAACCGCATCTTTGGGGAAGCATGTTCAATCACCCCCCAGATTTTGCCCAGTCTCCGCCCCGTAGCGGGTGCCGCTCGGCCACGGTGGCCTCATGGCCCGAAGACTCGGACGCCGGTGGCCAGGGCTTCATGATCCAGACGGGTGACCCCCAGGGCGATGGCACCGGCGGAGAGAGCATTTGGGGCGGCGAGTTCGAGGAGCGCGACCGAAGAAGACGCGACGCCCGTTGGCGAGGGTCGAACCCGGAGGATCTGAAGGTTTTGGGTGCAAAGCATTTGGCGCTTTTTTTCAACGAAACGGGGAGGGAAGGAGAAGGGGATTCGGATGGTTTGGCTCAGAAACTTCTAGACGCTCCAAACTGGGGGACCTGTGTTTTTGAAGAGAAAGGGGCCGAAGCCAATGTACTTCAAAGAACTGTGAGGTGCAGGGTTCCCAACTCTAGTTGCTGAGATTGGCCTTCGCAGGTAGGACTCCAACTTCCCTGCCGTTTGGTCGCAGGATGTAGCAGGTGTCCTTGCCATCCTGAAATTGCCGTCTCATGCAGCCTCCATGGCATGCAGCCTTTGACGATCTTTGACGTACCATCCGAACCAACCAGTCGACGAACCTGCGACCCACTGGTGTGGACGTCCCCCACGGCCCCCTGACCGCGGGAGACCGCGGTCTCACCGGGTTTCGACCGCGCGCGGTCGCGCCGCCACATCGGAGCGACGGCGACCGGTGCCAGGATGAGTTCCACCGGAACTTGAAGCACGACCGGCCCTTTACCCTCTCCATGGCCAATGCAGGGTCCAGCCGACCTGTATGAAGAATCGTTTTCTTTTTTGAAGGAACGAGATGCCGGGTCACGTGTTTCATGGGGGCCCACCCGTGGCGACCGAGCTCATGGCGGAAAGTGCACCGAGCTCATGGTTACTCGTTCAGGAGGCATTGGTTTCCAGGGTGAACGAAAGTACTCGTGGACGAAATCGTGCACCACAAAGAATTCACACCCTAAGGATTGACAGTGCTGGATAGAGAGGCCTGTGGAAACGAGTGCTGCTGGTTTGTGTGGCATGGACACTGAACAGATGCGCGGACAGCATGTCGAGGTGTTGTTCAGTGTTGGACGTGGGGCAAACAAAGCACGCCCGGATGCGTCATCACAACGTTTCAAGCAAAAGAGCTAGATGTGCAAAAAAGACAGAAGGAGAGATGCTAATATGCTACAAGTCACAAGCATAGACATATATAGAAATCCTTAGATTAGACAACACATGTGGGCAGTTCGGGTGGCGGGAGTACTAGAATTAGCCACCCGAGTCTTGGAGATATCAATAAATTTGAGAGAAAGGATGTGGGCCAATCGTCCTAGTAGCAACCACCCCCTGAAGCGTGGTGCTTTTGGAGAGTGCTTATGAGTGTTTCCTACTGTATAGAGATGTATAGAGTATGGACCTGTTTTCTCGTTCATATTGTACACAAACTTGTTTTGACATGTGTTAAGCAATGTACAAGCCCAGTCCGTTCCTGGATCTCGTTGAACCGGAAGCGAAGTACACCCGAGCCAGGTTGATGCTCCAGGTAGTTCATTTGGTTCATCTTCAGGGTCGCTGGGTTTGGACCCCCTAGATGAGTCACCAATGAAGGAATTGGTTTGGGTTTAGTGTTGTGAGGATTTCAGTCATCAGAAAAACTGAACAACTAGCACTCGGTGAACTACCTTTGGCGAAGATAGATGAACTCTTCCACAGATGCACTGTGGGATGACTTTGGGCTTCCCATTTCGCGCACAAAAGGCTTTATGTGGGGAACTGAACAGCAGCCTTTCCCTGCCTATTGTGTCCACCGTGGGCGACAGAGACTCCACCATTTTTCCCATGCAACATGGAACAACGCATCAGCACCTGATACTTTCCAGATGTTTGTTGAAGAACTGGCCCGGAAACATGTGGAGATCAGGATGTTCCATCTCTGCTTCAGGACATGCTCTCAAAAACCAAGAAAGATTTCGACTCATCAAGCACCCTCCGCCATCGCCAGGCCCAACACCAATGGCTCCCAGTTCTTTGCACGCTGCCCCAGAAGCAGGAATTGCTGGAGAAAAGACTCATAGACGCCCAAAATTTAACACGGATTCCAATACATTTTTTGGCTATTTCTGCTGGCGGAACACTATGAAGTGGTCTCCATCTTGTCAAACGGGACTCTGCGGATGCTGCTTACATGTACGTCGTGCTGGTGATCAGCACCGGTGAGCACTTCGTGTTTGTTTGGGTGGAACACTTGTGAATCTTCACCACAGAACACTACTGCCACTAATGTACTTTTGATTAATACATGATATAGTTTGGACACTGTATGTACTTTATTCATCAACAACCTACATTATTAGCATCCAATCTCTCACCAGTAGCCTCACAGGTCTCGTGATGGACTCCGACTTGACACAGGGAAGACATGGACAAAGTCACCAGAAAGCCATGGTCTTTGGCAAAATTCATGGTAGGGAATTTATGTTGACATGTGAGAATGCATGGTTTGTGAGAGCCCATGTCGGACAGGAGGGAGTGTAGTGTGGTCATCATCTTCCAACCAGGTGACCACTGTGCCATGCCCATGGCTCGATGGCAAGCACACGGTCTTCGGCCGCGTTCTACAGGGCATGGACGTGGCAGGGGCCCTAGAGGGCGCTGGAGGGCCGGAGTGGGCCCTGTGGCTCAAGTTCGCCAACGAAACATGCGAACATTCGTTTCTCGAAGTTGATTCTTCCGGAATGACCACAGTGATCACTTTTGATGCTTTACTTGTTGTATGGATGGAGAAAACAGAGCATAGAATGCCCCCGCACAGGCTTGATGACAGGTGGGCTTAGAACCTGAAAGCCTGCAATTGAGCCCAATTTGGTTTGGATTTGAGCGCGGATCCGGCTCTCTTCTGTCCCGCTCAAAAATAACATCTTGCCTTGAGGTTCAAAACATTGAGAAGACCCAGACCAACTGCGATGACAGGCTGTTGCTGTAATTTGCGACGATTCTTTCACGCTGAATGTTTGGTGATAAGATATGCATGTTCTTGACCTGTGCAAATGTGGAATTTCTGGTATTGAAGGCCTTTGGTCGACATCAAAATCATGACCATCAAGATCATCACCTAAATAAACCTATGAATAAATTCAAGAATCAAGAATGAATGATTTTACGAAGGCAAGCCGATAGGCTAGGCTGAAGTTTATGCGAGGTGTGGGAGGGCAGACGCGACTTTGTATCAACATTTAAGTTTTGGCGGGGAAAATTTTGGTGAGTTCGTGATGCAAACGATGTAAGATAAAGCTGTTTCGGCATCACTTGCATCATCAAGTTGGGATCATCAGGAGCAACTTTCTTTTGATGAAAATCGGACGCGTGGGCTTTGATGACCAGCGTTTAATACATTTTAATACAATGCTTTTGGACGCTAAGCCTGACTCCGGTTAAAGGGAAGGGACGGTATTGAATTTTTATAGAAAATTATATACATTTTGCGTTATTAAATCTATAAAGAAACACAAATAAATATAATATTCTATTTTAAAGAAGAAACTATTTTTTACTTTATTGTTTAAATATATATTATATATTATTTGTATTTATTAATATTTTTTATATATATATATATATTATTCATTGATTGTTTTTTAGTTTAAATTTATTTGAATTATTGAAACTTTGAGAAATAAATGAAGATTGTATGGGATATGAAATAATACGTATTTCGTTTTGGATTTTATATATGTATTTGAATATAATAATTTGGTTTTTATAATTATATCGAATTGATTTTTGATTTATTTAGAATTTTGATTTTGAAATTAAATATATATTGATTTTGATTTAGATTCCGTCGTTTTAATAATTTATTTAATTTTTTGATTTCGTTTATTTAGGATGGCGAATTTTAAATAGAATTTATTTTAAATCTCGAAGGATTGATATAATAAAAGCTAAATCGATGATTTAAATTAGCTTTTGACAATTGAACGATGGTAAAAATCTTTTAATTTTTTTTTTTTTGCTTTATAATGTTTTTTAATTTACGTATTAACTTCCGCAATGTTTACGTTATTAATATGTTCGTTTATGCGGTGATGTTATTTTTCTTAGGGTTTATGTAACGATTTTATTATCGGTTGATAGGTGAATATTATTCCTATTTGTTAGGTGAGGGTAATTACAATCGATTTTAGAAAATGAACCGCTAGATTACAAAGGGGAACATGCACTAAATAGCGGTAGGCATTCTCGGACCTTAATCGTAAGCTCTAGATCGCAGTGGTCACTCCCGGGAATCACTCGAAATAAATTAATTTATATTTTGCTTATATGATTCATTTGGTGGAACCCGCTGCTTCTTTTTGTCATCCATCGGGATCAAGCAGTTGGAACGAGGATTACACTGCGCTTTGTGCTTGAAAAGTGCATAGCTGCTTGCTTTGGTTTCTTTAGAAAAAACCTTTGGTGGACGTAAGCAAAGGGCTTGCGCGGGACTTACGCGGAATTCGTGCGGTCGTGGGCCACTCGACCCCTGCAAACAAGGCCTTTGAGAAATTGAGTCCACAACCCTTTTCTGCTTGCAATGTTTCTCAGCAAAAAAGAAAATATTGGCTGGGTAACTAGAAGACTCAAAATTGCTTGCGTACCTCTTACGCATCGAATGTCTCAAGCTTGACTTCCACCGAACCTTACGCAACCCTTACGCCGTGCAGATTTTAGCTTGCGCGACAATCTTGCAATTTAATCGGATCATGTGGTTTTTGCATTCAATTCTTTTATTCGCCATCTTGTTTGATTCGCAGAGCACAATCCTTGAAGTTCGAAGATCCCGAAGATTTGATCCTTGGCCATCCTTGACCTTAGATTCAAAAAGATTGTCATTAATACTAATAGTCATTGGAATTATATAAATTGGGATTAAAAGGCCGAATGTTTGCTTCCCAACAAGATGGATCCTTTGAATTCAATTGCCCTGCATAAGATGCTGCAGACGGTTCGATTATCTCAACGGCCGGACATCATCTCCAGATTTGCAGCCATGAAACCATTACCCAAGGACAAAGGAACCGACGATATATCGATCTCGATTCCATGAGGCTGGACCTGTCCATTCGAAGCCAGGAGAGCAACGACATGCACCGCTTGGCCACTCAGTTGTGCGGGAATGGAATCACTTAGTTGGTTTTGATGCGGCATCGTCCGACGAATTTTCAAGACAATCCATTCGCAATGGCAGTCAATCATCCGAAAGCTCCGGAAATGATTCGACAGCTGGTTCATCTCAAGCTGCTGCTGAATCCCGACAATCTTTGTTATATTCTGAGCGTGCTTCGATCGCAGTTTTGGGCTTCGTTGATGCAAGATGATTTTGATATCATATTCTAGGGGGCGCTGGGCGGAAGGCCTGATTGTACTTCTGACACATGGAGGGGAACCGCTTGTGCAGATCTTTTACAGGCTTTGCTTGGGGAGCTCTTGGACCCTTGGTTTATTCGCCGAGAGCTTGCAGCGCAATAAGACGCTGCAGAGTTTGTAGGTTGGCTTCAACAGCAGCTATTTGTTGGTTGTCTTCATTCCGGTTGGCAAAAAACGCTTTTTAACCTGAATGGAGGATTAGGGTTTATTGCTAGCACCGCTGCTTCTCCGTACAGCTCGGCCGCAAAAATACATGCTTCAGAATTGGATAATCCGATCCACCTATTAATAAATATAGGTCCCCCCCTAATAAGATAAATTCGGTCGCATTTTTCTAATAGGAGATCCTTGAAGTCTCGGAGATCCAAAATAGGATCACCTGGGAAGAATTTGAAAAAACATATATAGAAAAAAATTGTTTAAATTCCTTTATCAAGTTCGTATCAAAAATTTAAATAATCTCTAGATTGAAGGGTTTTTGTCCCCCTACAAAAATCTTTATTAGAATATTGATTCTTCATTAGACTAACAACCAAAATTGTCGCAAGGTGATGTCGCCCTGCCATGCAATTTTGCATGACCTCGGCGGTTGGAAAATTTTAGGGGAACCTAATTAAACAAATTACCACCAAAATCGACCATGTTGGTAATTTAGTAACGGTTTTTGACAGGACGGTAATTTAAATGCAAAAATATCCCGAATTTTTTAATTGGACAATATATATTAATAGGTATTCGGGATTAAATGAATGGTTTGACCAATAATCCTTCATATGTGCCTTGTTGCAGCCACACCCACAGATATGCCTCCAAATCGATAAATATCAAATTTTGGAAATCAGGTTTTGTGAACCCATACTTTGGGATCGTGATGAGATCCTCATGCCGATCTTTGATCACAATGCAAGGCTTGGACACTTCATGACATAGTTATAAAGTTATCTCCACACTGCTGCACAGAGGGGAAAGGCCTAACAACGGCCACTACGTTGCTATGTTCACATTCCTTGATTATCTGATGATTGATGATGATAACCAAGCTTGGACACTCCCAGTGGTCGACCATGTCACTTACGATGACAGCTATCTACTATGACTTATACATGCAAGCTCCTCAAGAGCCACCGGTGGCGATTGCCTGTTTGTAGCACCGTCAACCGAGAGGTCGTGCCAGACCTTCTAGGAGCTGCTTTTAATGGATAACTCATTTTGATTTTGCAAGAGTCGACGCGGATTTGGGCCATGAGCTGTTCGCGAAACAGCCGCCGTGGATTGTCTTCCACGTGCGCAGCCCTTGACGGACAACCTGAACGACTATCGAATAATGAAATTAAATGATCAATAATATTTTGGATTTTCAAATTTTTTTAGATATTCTATATTGGAAGGGGAAGGAATTCGGTCTTCGTATTAATTAATTTGATATTTTTAGATATTCTTTAAAATTATATATATTTATTGATCTCTGTTAATATTTATATAAATATATTTTGAATGAATGTAAATTGGGATTTATATTTGATATATTATATGAGATATTATTGATATATTATTAATTATGTATATATTTAAAGAATATCTATAATGATTTCATTATATTTATAATATAATTGGATATTTTTCGATATTTGCATTTATTTAAAATTTATATTAATAATTAATTTAATTTATATATATTATATAATATATATTTTTATATAAGACATTATTTTATGAATTCGATTTTAAATATTTATTAATATTGAATTAATATTATGTTATTTAATTTTTTTTTCGACATATAAATATTTCATAAATAAATATATTAGAATTTATATATTATAAATATTAATGAATAATTTAATCGAAATATATCCTATAGATATTTATTTCTCAAATGGCATATAGAAATATTAAATATATATATATAATATTTTATAATGTAAATTTTAATAAACAAAATATATAATTGAAATTAATTAATTAAATTAAATTATAGAAATAATACTATATAATTTTTAGTTATATATATATAAATATTTATATCTATATAATATATTTAAATATATATTTTTCTCAATATCTATATATATCGATATTTTTCAATATTTCAAATAATATCAATAAATATATTTATTTATGCAATATTTAAGAATATATTATTAAATATTATTGGGAAATTCATTAATATATATAAAGGATAATTTTAATTAAATAGATAAACAATATAATATATGACCGGGATTATTTTAATAAAATATTCATATATGTATATATACTAATATATATACAATACATAATTAAATATTTATTGAAATTTAATACATTATACCCAAATTAATTGCATTAATTCGCAATCTTCAAATAAATAATCATAAAATAATTCAATATAAATGGAATAAGGCAGAGATTGAATTCTGCAACCTTGGGAATATATATTGCATACGGCAAGGCTATACTATGGGAATATGATTTTGATTCGCATCAGCTCCTAGGGGCCCAGATTTCCTTTAAAATATAATTGGATAGATATTGTTTTTTTTTAAAATAGATAATATATATTATTTATATAGATATCAATTCCTAAGGGTCAAATTTCTAATCGAATCAAATCCTATTAAAATAAACGGATATATGCCATCTATTCCATATTCAATATATATAGACGCGATTTTGAGGGTTATAAAATGAAATTAAAATATATATGAAAATCATTATCGTAGAGAATAATTTTTTGATATCATTTATTTTTCCAAATATAGGAGGACGTAATAATCAATCTAAACAATATCTATATTACCTATTTTTGCCTAATATGCCAAAGGAATATACCATCTATTTATCTATTTTATATGTTTATTAATCTAAATATTCGATCAATAGAATTTGAAAATAAAATAAAAGAACAAATATATAAATAAATAAAATTAAAAGAAAAGAAAAGAGAGGGAAAAGACAATAAATAAAAGAAAAGAACATAAATAATTTGACAAAAAAAATAAAAATAACAAAAATACAGAACAATAAATTTCATAAGAAGAAAAAAAAATAAAAATTATTAATTAATAAAAAGAAATAGAAAATATAAACATAAAAAAAGAGAAAAAGAAAAGAATAAGAAGGAGAAAAAAAACAAAATCCATAATATAATTTATTAATTCAATCTTAAAAATATCTCTATCTTTCAAATAGATTAATAAAATTAGAAATGCGATTTTAGAAAGATAAAATAATTTCAATAAAATATCATTAAATATCAATAAAATTTCAAGAAAATATACCAAAAAAATAAAAAATAAATCAATAAACAATAATCATAAAATTAAAAAAGAATCATTAAGAATCGTCAAAAAAAATATTCAATCAATAAATAAAGACAATATTAAGAATAAATCCATAATAATAAAATAAAACAACAATTTAGATAATATTCAATACGGCTGCGCCAATAATTCTTAACGATAATAATCCTATATCCAAAATTAATATAAATATATATATTTTTTTTAAAAATAATCCTATTCCCCAAAACCATTATCCAATAAAATCATCCTATTATCGATCAAAAATATATCCGCAATATAATCAATCCATCCTCCCATTCTTTACGAATTATTCCTTACGAATTATTCCTAATATTTTAAAAATCAATATATCAATTTGTAAATATAACATTCCATCAAAAATCATTATTAATTTTGCTATAAAAATAATATATAACAAAAAATAATAAATTTATTATTCGTTATTTATATAATTTCCGAATTAAACCGATATAAAAATATCTTTAAATATAATTTCAATAAATCCTTTCAATCGAATAATTTATCATTCTTTATTTAAAAATCATATCTGTGGGTATTCAATCTATTAAATAAATTATCAAAAAATATATTATAAATATCTAAATATAAATTCTATAAATTAAAGATAAATATCAATTTAATATATTTCCATATTATATACAATAATATACCAATAAAATATTAAATAGATATTCTTTTCGATTAATATATAATATTAATCTAAGAGATATAGATTTAAAAAAACAAAAATACGCATCGGAGAAGAACAATAAATCAAGAAACGACAACATAAGAATTTTGAAGGAACATATAAACATCTGCCTAGCCTGCGGTTTTCCATTCTATAAACAAACCTTTTATAGAAAGGTAACAACCAAGATAGAATCATTATAACATGAAAAATTAACCTGTCTATAAAATGATGATCTCTTACAGGCATATATTCTTGTTAGATGTCTTGAACCTCTCTGTTTTTTATACAATGACTAAGCAGCCCTCCTCTCTAACAATCGATACTCAAGATTGATCAAGCAAAATCATAATGTGGAAGTCCACATTTTGCTTCTACAAGGGGGTACCAAACTACCAAGGCCTTTGTTGATAAGCGATTCATGGACCAAGCAGCCTCTAAAGATTTCGTGGATCCCCAAAGATGATTTGCTAGAAAGCTTCCTTACATTCTATTACCAAATCTTCAATACCAACGCTCTATTTATAAAATGACCCAACCGAATTCCCATCTTAACCAAAAAAACATTCAACATCTTCAGGCAGGCAAACTATGATTTTTGGTAAAATGAGAGTCCAACATTTGATTTTGGCACGTGCCCATTAAAATCTTTATGAAATGGGGGTTGGAAACTATCTTTTGTTGATGCAAAGGATAGACATTTTGTAGTAGCATGCTAGTGGAGTATAGATTCAAAGTTATTGAGTATGAGTCAATCGGAGTGAATCAAGAAATCTAGATAAGAAATAAGTCCAGAAATCCGCCGACCCGGCCTAGCTAACGCCTAGGCGGGGCGGCGCCGCCTGGGACACTGCAGAATAGAAGCCGTTGCAAGTGGAAATGCCTTGCAGTGTCAAGAGTCGCTCTTTAGCCTGGCTTTTGCAGCCTCCAGCTAGGACATGCCCTGGGCTCCAAACCCTCCACGGCAGGCTTTCGCAAGCTTTTTTTTAGGTTTCGAAGCCACCATTAGGCACCCTGTCCGCGGCCTCCGACGCTGCCGTCTAGCCCCGTTTGCGCACAGAATTAGATGGGGGAAGGGGCTTTCTACAAGACAGCAGGGCCGGTCTGTGGCCATTCCAAGCGGCCTTCAACAAGCTTTTTTTATCTTTGGCTTTAAAGCTGCCGTTAGGCATCCTGCCCGCAGCCTCAAACGTTACCGTCTAACACCAGGCCTTTTTGGGCTTTCTACAAGGCAGCAGGACCGTTCTCTATGGGCATCACCTTAGCTGCTGCTACGCGGTTCCGCATCTGTTTTTCTATATGGGGTTCCAAAAGCAACGTTAGCGCTTGCAGCTACCTGGGGCTTGTCCTAGCCGAGGTTTTGGCGTGGTCCATGGGCAGCCGGCCAGACGCTGCTTTGGGCTGCTAGCAGCCTTGAGCTGGGACCTGCCCTAGACTCCCTCTCTCGAGGTTCCGAAGGTGACGTTCGCACGCTTGCAGCTACCTGGGGCTTGTCATGGCGGAGGATTTGGCGTGGTCTATGGGCAGCCGGCGCCTGGCGCGGGTAAGGATGTTTAAGGTATACTATATACGTATACTCTTCCTTTCAAAAGACCGGCCAGAGTCTATCCTTGCTCCGCACATCTCATCTCAACACCTCGCCTTGTGAAAAGGCTGCAGCAAGATGCAGTAAGTGAATTCCATGCTTTCAGTTCAGGGGTCGGCGGCACCAGGGCGTTAGCCTTACTCCTGCAATGCCGTATGGTGTAGCTGATCGCCTCTAGCTTTAGCCACGCAGGGGTGCTCCCGATGCCGGGAACCCCCCCTTACGGTGTTTTGTGAAATCGAACTTAAAAAATTGTGCTCTCGGGTGCATTTCGAGCCGCTTTTTGCCCCTGGAGTTGCACCCAAACGCAAAACACTGTAAATTACAGTGCTTTCACCAGTCTCGATCTAGAAAACACACATGTCGCAGCGTTGCAAAAGCTGCGTAAATATCGACGTTTTTTGGGGCGTGGTGCGCCAAATGCTGCAAATATCGCTCGTGTTTTTCGAGAAACCCCCGTCAATACCGTGGTTTTGAGCACTCGATAGCTCAAAATCATCGGTATTTACGTGGTTTCCTGGCGTAAAACCACAAACAACTACGTAAACAGCGTGGTTTTGGTGCACTTTTGAAGCCTCCAGCAGCAAAAAACATGGATATGTACAGTGTTTTCTATCTTTTTTGTCCACCACCAGCCTGAGGGATTTTGCCTGGTCTCTTTTTGCGCGCGCGCCTCAAACGTGCTTGATATGAGGTCTTCAGGGCGCGCGCGCAAGGAACAACAAGTTAATAACAAAGCAAGAAGTGCAAAGGCAACGGATAGCCGCAAAACAAAAAAAGATGAGAAACTGAACACGATAGCGAACACGCGCCCAACCGGCATCGCCGGTCTGCGAAACTCTATATACAATGATTTGACTTAGAATAGAATAAGAAGAATTAAATATGTATATTCAGTCAAAGGGGAATATTCAAAAGGAAAAAGGATGCATTTTTGGGAGGATATTGTTATTAAATAAAAAGGCGGAATGCCCAAAAAGAATACCAATATTTCTCTTTTCGGAGGACATGGGTGTTGAGCCGGGAAACAGCGAGCCCCAAAAAAGTTCCCATTAAACCAACAACCGGGCACCAAGACAGCCTAAAGAAGGATGTCAAGCCGAAACGAAGGTCAAAGAAAGACTTAAATCAAGCCCAAAGGAAGCTCAAGAAGCGAAGACCTAGGGCCCAAGCACAATCCGAAACATTGAACACATCCGTAAGAACGGAAGGCCTAAGGCCTGGCAGCACCAATCCCAACAGAAGGCCTATAGCTCTGCGAGGACCATGACAGTGGCGGCACTGACGAAGACCCTGTCCGAGATGCCTACACAATCCCGCACATGTCTGCACTTCAAGAACCCCCGACATAAAGCCATAAAAATAATCAGATTTCTTTGAGCCTGCCATGAAGACTTACCAAATATCAATCCTAGCCACAAGAACCAGTGTTCCATGGATCTAGCTGAACTACGAGAGCATCTATAGTTTTCTGTGTGGATAAAGGTTCAAACGGGAAAGCATTAACGGCGGAGCGGGAACGATGGAATAGTTGTCATACATTCCCAACATGTTCAAACTACTGTTTTTTATTTGTTGCTGTTTCTTTGGTAATACTACTTTATGTTTGAAACGCTAATTCATATTTTATTTTTTGTTTTTCATCAGTTGCGGCCCACATTGTACTTGTCTCACATATCCCCATGCTGGATTCATCCAAGCAGCCTGAAACTCCGTTCAGCCCCTGGACTTCCTATTCAGCTACTGCTGCTCCTGCCCCTTCTTTTGCCCTTCTTCTTTTTCTTCTTCCCACTAGAGCTGGAACTCCTAGGCATGCACGGCGAGGAGTAGCTCGAGGTGTCCAGCCCGGTCTTACACCTGAACTTGCGAACTCCAAACGTGCTCATGTCTCGACTGCACCGCACCTCTCATCCACCTAAAACTTTCTCAAATCACGGAAGCACGCACAGCTGTGCTTCCCCCTTCAGAACCTCCTCTCAACCCCGAAGTGGCCAGCATATGCCAGCACTTTCGTGCCCTCATCCTTCTCACCTGTCCTTCCAACCCCATCCCGGTCCTCCGGCGGCTCCGGCGGCTGCGGCTGCGGCTCTTCTCCGCCCCCGGTGGTGCTCCCGGTGGCGGCGCCCCCGGCACGATCGTGCCCGGAGCACCCGGCGGTGGAGCGCCCGGGACGACGCCAGGGACCCCGGGGACCCCGGGCACAGGCATGCCCGGGACCAAACCGGGGTAGCCATAGTAGGGGTAGTAGGCGGAGTAGGGGTAACCTCAGTGGAAAATGGAGATTGGAGGCTGAAAGGTGGATCCTTTTGGTCAAAAAGCCCAAGACCTTTTTCGGGAATATGTCCACCACTCTCATAACATGACAGTCATCTTAAATCATCTTAAACTTGTCGTAATTTGATCTCATTGCTCTTTGTCCCACCAGTGCTGTAATCCCAAAGCGGCTCCTTTTGACGACTACACCCGCCGATGCCCGCCTGGTGGATAATATGGGAAGCCCGCAGGCAGAGTCGGGGCTGCAGCCACCGCAGGGTCTCGGACGTGGCGCCAAGTCCAGGCGGATTTGGGGTGATGTGAGGCTGAAAGCTACTAGTAACAAGGGCAGTTACTAGTAACAAGAAGCTAGAAGCAATGCCCTTGTAAGAGACATGGGACGACAAAGTGACGACTTGGGGCCCAAGAAGTTGGTCCACAAAAAACCCTTTTTGTCCTGACTGGTGCGGCATGAGGGTGGCTGGCACCGGGTGGTTTTCTTCTTCCCTCACATGTACATAGAGGCTTGCATTCAATATATAAAGCAACAAGCATCAAGCAAGAAGACAAAGGCTACCAAGGTGGTGGATGGTGTCAACCATCCTGTGGCATCAGTAGGTGTGTGAATATATCAGGGTGAATGCTGGGCACGCTTCTGGGAAAAGCCCGGTGTGCACAAGAAAACGCAAGAGTTCCACTTAATTCAACCCCCTCCCCAGTTGGAATGTTGGAACTCCCTTCTCCAACAAGCATGGAAGCTGACCAACCTCACTTTCTAAAAGGTCCATCTTCCTAATGACCTGTGAGGGTGCAACAGGGCGAGCAAATGAATGAGACAAACGGAAAACATCGAGGCTTCCACGCTTTTGACAGGCAGTGGATCTCAAAAACGCACGCAATGAGGATGCAAAAAAGCAAAGGTTTTGGCTCTGGGTGTAATACATTACTTTAGACCGAGGCAGTCTTGACTGGGTTCCAACAATATCACCTGCGGTCACCCTGCCACGCCTGCCGTGACGGGGGCAGGAGCGCCCGAGCCTCAAGCAGTGTTTCTCTCCCCGATGAAGATCCACATGGTTTTGGTATGTTTTGGTATGTTTTGGTTACATGCATGGAGCATCTGCTATTCTCATCTCAGTAGTTACCCTTCAAAAGCCAAAGAGAAAGCATAAAGCAACACTTTTCAACCTACTGAATGTGGGAAAAGGGGACCAAGAGAACTATGTGTGTTGCTCACCATCAATTGTGAAAGGGTTAAATAACAAACATGATCTCACAAACTCATGCCCTACATGACTGCTCCTGTACCTGCCCCACACAATACCAACTGTACCTGTTCCAGCATGTTCCAGCTAGCCCTGTTACTAAAGTCCTATGGCCATACAAGAGGCGTTGCCTACGGCTATTGTACCACTTCAACTACCGCCTTTGCACCGCCTTTGCACCGTGCGAAGGCCAATCATCTTTTGTACAAGCATGTGCAAGCTAAGCAGCCAATCATGTACAATTGTTCTTGATGGGACACGTTCTCGGCGAAAAGGCAGGATGTGGTAGGGCTACAGGCTTTGCCCGCTTTGCCCGTTCTGTTGGACTCCCTTGGCGGTTTTTTCCTGTCCTGCCTCGGCCGCTCTTGGCATCCCGAATCCGCGACAGGAGGGCAGATGACGGGTTCCGGGCCTGGGCACGGCATTGGAGTGCAGCGCTCAAACATTTCAGGGGCCCAGTGAACCAAATACCTGGGCTACAGCCTTTGGTCCTTCCTCCACATCTCAGAATCTTCAGAAAGCCAAACAGCTTTTGGAGAGGGCAGCCTTCCGGCAGTGTTGAGCCGAGCGCATTTAGGCCCCTGCAGTCTTCAACTCTCCCCTGGCAATCACCGTGCGTTGTACTTCAGGGGAGCAGCTCCTGCGCCGACGCACGGCACAACTCTCGGCACTCACTCCCCGGCCTGCTGCGACGTCGGCGACCGTCGTCATCCTTCCCAGACACCATCTTGTCCAAATGAATCTGCAAAGCGCTACAGAGTTCTTGCGTTTTTTGGTTCCTGAAGTGCTGATGTTGTTGCATGCTGCAATTTGGTAGCACGATCGGGAAAGATGGTGTGGCTGATGAAAGCTGGCCCCAAACAGATCCACAATGTTCCAAGCATCTAGGAAGAACGGCAGTTTGTGCCTTCCTGATGATGGGACGAAGTGAACAACTATGATTCCGAGTCCTCAAAGGCTCCAGGATTGACATCAACATCATAGGGGCGGATAGCGAGGGAGCGACCGAAGGTACCTTCTAGCTTAGGCTAGCTAAGCCTGTTGGTTCACTTTAGGGCCAGGAAGTCCCAACAACCTTCGAATCCATTTCAGATGGATCAAAGCATGCCATCGTTGGCAAACACTCTGGATGCTGACTTGGATGCAAGTAAAATGGCAGTAATAATCTATGTAGCTATCCTAAATGAAATTATCTACAAAAAACAAGTTTTTTTTCATGTTTCTTCAGCAAATCCATGAACAAATCCCTACTTGACCCGTACCCTATTGACAAACTATATACATAGTATAAGTTCCCCCGGCGCAGCTCATTCCTCAAGGAATCAGCGGCACTTTCATCAACCTTGTTGTGCGCGATGAACCTCAGCTCAGGCCAAAGTTGAAGTTCACAAGCTCTAAACCAGCTAGTTTTGGGTCAGGCTCAGTCTGTCAATCCAGCTGTGGCTTTGGTACGGGAATTGTCCCAGCACTGGCACAAGCAACAACAATTCGCTGCCCATGTGCAATCAGGGTCTTTAGCACCTCAACCCATGCATGCCTGCAAGGTTCAACGACGTCTGTATCTCTGTTGCCAAGTCAAATGTGCAGCCCTTCGCCAAATTGAGGCGTCAGCTCTTCTAATTCGGGCGTGCTTCCACCTTGGCAGGTGACTGGCAAGCCTCAATGTTCTATCTTTTTGATAAGCCAAAGGAACCAAGTGCTCTCTTGTTCACCATATTGCTTTTTCTAGTCCAGCGGCATTGAGGCTGGGTTGCTGAAGGTCTCCGTCATATTGGTTCTACAATGTTCCATCAGGCTTGGAAAGAATATGTGCATGGACTTGGTGTGACGCTGTGCGACACATGTTTAACGTGATTTTTGCTTGCTTTGTCTGGCATGATTGAGTGCGACCCCAGGCATGCGCATGGCACAGATTGCTGCGCCAACCATGTTCCTGTCTTCACGGTTTGCTTTGCTCCAGGTAGAACCTGTAGAAATTCTACAAAACTGGCGCAGTATCTGCACGTTTCTGCATGTTGAAATGAAGACAATGCCGCACTCTGCACACTTGGTAGGCTCTTTGCGTGGCCGCTTGGACCGTTCTCTCGGTCGGTTTTTCATGGCCCATCCGCCCTGCCCTAAGTCTCGGCGCCCGCACCGGCATGGTGACCTGAGGCTTGTCGGGCCGGACACATGTGTTGCAGCCGCGCAAAACGCGCCGGAAAGCAGAAGCGGCACATGGGAAAAAAACATGCTAGGTTCCGCCGGAATGCATGCAGCATACTATGCTGTTCCTCTTCCGGTCTCCTCTCCTCTCACCTTCTGGACATGAACATGACAGTCATGACAGTCAAGATTATGGCTTCAGGCTCACTTTAGCATGGACTAAACTGACTCAACGGATGAAATCTCCCGGGTTTTCCACCTAGCTGCGCTTCTCCATCTGCCCACACCCCACACGGGTGCCGTTTTCGTCGGTTTCGTCGGTTTCGGCCTCTGGTGACCGTCCCACCGCTATTGCGCCTGGGTCAGCTGGGTCAGCTCTCGCTACCAGGCGCATGAAAACCCGAAAGAAGCTTCATGAGGCAAGTCCTTTTAAACTTGTTGAACTTAACAGACTTAACCATCCCATCCCACCAATGTCGAATCTTAGGAAGTCTGGAAGCAAACATGCCCATTTGGGGTTTTACCTCGTTTTCACTTCAGCAACTTTTACAATGCCAATGCATCTGACAATCACTGTATGAAATTTGCGGCATCCAATCATCTGAAGCTTTTGCCAAAACAAAACGCACCCATCGGCACGTGTGGCGTGCCACCTACTCCACTGAGCTCCCCAACGCGTCCCTGATGCGGGCCAGTAGTGCTGCCGAAGGGTTCCGCGCGCTGCTCAGGTCTCCTCGTGCAATGACCTCACAGCGATGAGTGGCGCGAATCAATTCGCACGCGCCTGCGAGGCGTCGGGAGCTTTGAAGCAAAGAAAAACAAGTAGAAGTCGCAGTAAGGCTCGTCCATCTCATTTCTTTTAGTTCCTAAAAGCTCTGGGAAGGCCCAAGCAAACGCAACTGACCCAACACCTCATCACATATCTTACAACTTCTTGCGATGAGGTATTGGCATGTATTGGCAACCTAAGGCGACCTGAGGTATATACTTTTCTCTGCACTTCTCCTGTGCAGTCACGTAGATCGGACGCAGCTCGGCTGTCCACATTGTTGTCCTGCGCTTCCACCACGGATGCTCCGAAGAAGGTCGACAAACCTAGTAACCTAGTAGTCAACCTTAAACCCCAGCAATTACCAAAACAGATTCCTTTCCGCCCAAAAACTCTGCAGGAGATTCTTATGGGATAACGCACTCTACTAGGTTTTGCTACAATACACTCTCGAGTGTCTGCTCAAGACATCCACACAAAAACAAACGTTTCATTTGTTTTCGGGGGTGATCTGAATAACAATAAGTATCCTCAACAGCGAGAATCATGCAATATCCTGTTTCTGTTTGACTGCACTGTTTACGTGGCTTGTGCCAATCTTCGTCTTCAGCGCCTTAATAAAATCCTCCAACTCATCCTCGGTTGGATTGGCCATGGCACTGACCCCAATCAGATTGGTGCGGCACCAACCGCACCACGCCGCCAAAAAATGCGTTTTGGTGGCCGGACCTGCTGTCTCGCGTGTGCCATGTTTCGAAGCTCAGTGTCACCGGTGAAGACCTGTTGCACATTTGCTTTACTTATTGTCCGATTGATTCTACACCAGCGCCGCCATGTCCTTGATCTGTCCAAGCCGAAATGGCGCGGGCAATAATGAAACCTTTCCGCTGCTGGCTGCTGGCCCCTTGTCAGTTGTCTGCCAGGTCAAGCAACTCACTTTCAGTGCAATGCAGTTGATATTACAAACGGCCACGCACAGTCAAACAGGAAAAAGCAACGATCCCTACACAGGTGACATGCTACAACCCAGAACACTTGTCACTCGTCCCTCGAACTAAAAGACACCAACTCAGTGTGTGCAAACTAAGCGCAAGCAGCGGCACATGTTTCTTTCAGCAGCGCTGCTTGTGTCACTCGGTTCCATCGCAAAGTATCTGGAAAGAAGTGTGGGTCAAAGCACAGCAAGTGAAAGAGAGGGTGGAATGGAAACCTGCTATGTTGCCAAAAGCCAATTCCAATGTACAAAGAGTTTTCCTGTGCTCATTCTAGTGCTAGCATAGCTGAGTTGGGACTAAAAGTTGGGTTCTGGGTGCCCATTAGTTATATACATATATACATATATACGTATATACATCTAAACATGCATAAAACCTTTGAAGGCTTTCCCGCTCACAGTCTAGCATCCTCACTCCGCCCCGAAAATTGCACCCTCTCCAAAAAGAAGGCGTGAAGAGGGTCGCAATCATCAAAGGTGCGCAAAATAAGTCACACTCCCTGAAAGCATAATGGCTACGTGGATGGCATTTGCTCCAAACGAATGACTTTTTTCCCCTACCACTTCCATGGAACGACTTGGAGTGTAGATCATCAATCCTTCGAACCCAAACACCTTGCGACGGCAACAAGCCACACAGAATTCAGAAAGGCCTGTCACGACAAGCCCATCATAGTCATTGAGTCATAGCCCATCTTGTTAGCCTGCCTACCCATCATAGCCCATCACTAAGGCCATTGGTTCACACCTGTCATGTATGTCCCATCTAAGCATCTCTCCCCACCTTCCAGGAGCCCTGGGAGCGCTCCAGTTCCACGGGACGCCAGTCGTGGCGATAGCTCTCCAGGCGCCTCGCAGGTGCGGCGGCACGGGTGTGTTGAAAACGGATTTGATTGACAGGACAGGTAGACTCTTGATCAATCAAACCAACCTGATTTGGATGGAAGAACCTTTTTCAATCTTTTTAATATGTCTTCATGGGGTCTTCTATGGTCTTCTAGGTTCTATTCATCAAGAGTCTTGAGTCTACATTCCACGATCATAATCATCAGGGAGATTTCTATGGAAGAAAGCTGTCTCACTGCTGCCATGGCACCCAATGCTCACCACCTGACCAAGCAGCAAGTCTTCAAGTCTTCAGTGATGTGATGATGTGGGTGCAAAAGGTGCATACATGTTGCTGGCATTCCTCCAGCTGCATCTGCAGTGTGGTGTTGGTATTGGGTGGTGCAGCTGCTAGGATCCGCATCAAATCCAGCTGCATTCTTTGAGGCTCTCTATTCTGTCCCAACAAGCTGACTTCTTACATTCTTGCTTTCGCACACGATGCCACTCCCGTGAAGACCCAACTGCCCAACCAAGCTAGCACTTGCAATTTGAACACATGGATGAGAGTCTAGTTGCAGCTTCCCAAAAACTGCTGGGCCATGACACTGCCGTGACCCAAAAATCTGCATGAATGAACTGCCCCACCATGAGACGGTAACAACCGATGAAGCACTGCCCTTTCTCGCGCAGACCGCCTGGATCCTTTGAACCTCAGCACCGTGCTGTGCGAGTCAACGAGTACACGTCCAAAGAAGTCGAACTCAGTTGAACAAGGGACACAAAAGCCGTTGATGAAACCCATGTTCAATTGGTAGGACAACCATGTTCGCGCACAACCATGTTGTGTGTAACTCCCCTAACGTGGATGGCGCCCCGATGACGATTTTCTAAAATACGAAAGGACACGTTCATGGTTCTTCAAGGGAGTGTACATGCATCCGATGGCGCGGGTGCCGCATAGTGCCACTACTTGTACTGCAAGTGTTCAGTCGTCTTTGATCAACAACATCCACGAGGACATCATGAACAACATACTTGTCAATCCCCAAGACCACTCCCTAGAAATGTTTCGCGATGCTTCAGACGTGTTTCTTGGTTGTGAAGTCGCAAAGTCTAGGGCCGCGCACATGGAGATGCCAGGCGGTATATAAGCCCGGATCCTGGCGCGGCGTGTGGCCGCCGGCGCACCAGGTCGACCTCTCGGTAAAGGTACGAGTACGGTTCCTGGGTTGCTTATGGTTGCTTTTGTCACGTCGCATCGCAGGAAGAGACTGCAGGTTGAACAAGTTCTGCACATTCCGGGCCCGACCGAAATATCAATGAATCATGCTTGCAACCTTCCACCTGTCTCAGCTGTTTCCGGGTTAGCGTGCCACCTTCCAAAGCCCTTGCCTTGTAGAGGATCCGCATCCATTCCCTCCAAAAGCTCTTGGCCTCTGCGGGAGGCTTTGGCTCCGCACGGCCTTGGAAGGTGACCTGGGGAACGGCCGGTTCATCGTCGCGCTCAACTGGCCATGCCCCAGCTGCCCAACCCCCAAAGAATCGGACGAAGCTGGGCGTCCAGTTGGCCGTGCAGCCAAAACTGCTGCCAACTGCAGTGCAGCAGTTTCCTAGACACAGCTGGGCAACTTACAATCCTGGCATGAGGCCAAGCAGCCCAGCCACGTCCTTCCTCACCTCTCACCAGCGGCTTGCGGACGATTTAATCCCCCAGAACATCACTTGCAACAATGTTATTGCCTCACGGCATGTCATTCATTACAACTAGGTGGTCAATATACAGTATCAGTATCTTGTCGTTTGCTTGGGCATCGTTTGGTTAAAGGAGTAAAGGTCCTTCAGTCTCCTTCAGTAGGAAGTAGGAGCAATTGAGGCCATGACATAGGTCAAAGTCTCAGGGTTCCAGTACAGCAAGGCGCAGTTCGGATCTGCAAGGAGCTCCTTGAACCTGAAAGGACGCAGCCCGTGAAGGCAGTATTTCCGCAACTCTGCAACTTGGAACTTGTTTCATCGCCCGTTTCTGCCTCTGCCGAACGATGGCATGTTTCCTGAAGTTACTTCAGAATTGGTGAAAGGACGGCTGTAGAACCACTACATCTATCAACAACTCGCTATCCTGAAGTGATCGCCATCCTGCCTTCATTAAGCCCATTGCTCAGCAAAAGCATGCAAACACCCATTTCGGCCCTTTGAACAGGTTGTTCCCCCTTCAGAATCCCTTTGGTGTCTACGAAGAAGAAGAAGCGAAGAGGGCAGCACTCCTGAAGATTGAACATGGTGAACCAACGTGAGCCCAGGTGAACCCCCACATGCCACATCCACGAGAACCTCCAAGTCGCTTTCGGCTCGCTGACGAAGTAAAGAAGTTCACTCGGACGTCGCCATTCTCCTCTTGCACTCCGAAGGGCTCCTTTGAAATCCAGTGAAGCTTCCAAGAAAGGACCCGCTCGCACTAGGCCACTAGGCCTTCTCCAAAGAGAGGAGCCCCAAAACACGGCCTTCTCGGATGCCTTTTCGGCACTTTCCGGATCTGTCACTCTTGCGACACGTCCGCACGGCCGAACTGAGCCCCCCTCTCCTTCAACTGCACCATCCTGCTGGCCACTCCACCTGGAGACTTGGAAGACGAACATCCGGAAAACCCAAAGCATCATCTAAGAACAGCAAACACATGCAAAGACCCACGGACTCTTGCATGTTGCTTGCATTTGTTGAGTTAGATTAGTTTCAATTCTAAACCGCTATACCCGTATATGCGATCATTTGATCCTCCCAACTGTCTCTACCCGCCTCCCTGACGGGTGGAGAGCACTCCACAGTCTTGGGGTGTGGCTTTAGCGAAGCTCAATGCCTCCCCCAGTACCTCGGAGCCAAATTGATCCAGCATCAGGGAGCTAATCCGGGGATCCACCAACACCTTGTGGATAGGACCTTACAGAAAGGAGCAGTACTTAGGTGATGGGCCTGGTTCATGTTGGTGTTTCAGAAGTTGAAGGTTGAGACTGCCTGTTTTGCACATGACATCATGTCTCCGGCCCAAGCTCAATTTTGAATGATGTTGCATGATTTGGATGGAGATTGAGTTTCCAAAGGCAATCATGCACATCATTGTGCAGCCGAAGTGAGAGTCTTATCACTCGACCAATATCAGGTGTTCTTTCTTTATTTCAAGGCCCTCAACTACAATTTCATTGTGCCAAGGGTATGAGTCGAAGCACTGGCAACCCCAAACAGAATGCAACAGGTGCTGATCCATTGAGTCAGTATATTCAATATATTCAGTCTTTGCTATATATCCACCTTCGGTGTCCCAAAAGAAGGACAAATTCATAAGACTCCATATGTATCCATCATCATCATCATCACCATCACCATCATCGTCATCATCATCGTCATCGTCATCGTCATCATCATCACTGCATCCTCTCCAAATGGGCCTTGGGGTGCTTGCCTGCTTGAATTGACCACACGATCACCACAGTGTCTGAGACCCCGACCGCATCTGGCTGGGTCAAATCCACGGCCGCAGCTTGGAAGCCCAACCTGTGCGGAGAGCTGCGAAGCCCAAGCGCTGAGAGGCAGAAGTCAATGGCAGTTCAAAGAAGTGGCGCAACACTCCAAGAAGGCGTAGTGGGGCCACACAAATTTCCGTTTTTTTTAAAGAAATTTGTGCACATCCAGACTCGACTGAAGACCACTGCGGTCGTAAGTCTATCCTACTACCCTTGGCAAATGCGGCGCCATTGGACGTGTTCCTCGATAACGGTAAGTCTAGTTCTGGGAGCCACCTACTACATAATTTATACACAATCCTCACTCTAGACATGGGCACTTTACCACGAAGAGGTAGGAACCCTGGCTTCAGCCACGTCTTTGAAGGCTCCATGGCTTCCAGGTGACGTGGACCATCGCCCTTTCCCGAGGTGACGTGGTTCTCATGTTGCACAACTAATTACAGTTGACAGTGCTCAGGAATCGGGGTCGGACAGTGTGACTCACGACAAGTCGACATTCTCCATCCCAGCGAAGCGCTGCTCGTTCGTCACATCCTCCGCCAAGCTGCCATGCTTTCACCTTCGCCTTGGCCAGGTCGGTGAATCATGAATGGTTTAATCAGCTCATTGATTCCAAGCCCACTGGTGGATTTACTGGTGGATTCCAGGCATCCTCTCCATCTCCCTCACTTTCAGGGATCCTAGATGATCCTGGTATTTGGGTCAGCCTGGTAACCTGACAAAATCAATACTTGCATCTGAGCAAAGCATCGCCTCGACAATGCTTCCGGATCTTCCTGGCCTAACCTTGCAAGCAAGTAATCCAAACCTGCACGCATCTACAATCCCCTACCAGCGGCGCCCCATCACTTTCCCGCTGCCCGAACAGTAATAGCAAACTATTAAGCAAACTAAGGCCTGCAACTACATCGCAAGCAATCACCTCAAATGCCTTCGACGGGCCTGACGGGCGAGAAAAAAAGACATGTCCCAAAGCAACGCCAAGACCAAAAACACCTCCAAACACGCCCAACCATAGAGAAGCTACTATCTGGGGGCTCCTGGCCTTACTACTAGGAGCAAGGACGCTACGAACGGGGCTCCTGGCATTGCTACTAGTAACAAGCAGCTACTAGAGACTCGAGACTGAATCTTTTCTTATTCTTTTTCACGAACCGAACTAGTCACCGACTCCACCCCACCAATCTGCTCCGCGCGGCGCCCAGCCACCCGTCCGGACTGTCGCCAAAACACCCGTCCTCACACGACCGACACGTCGCCCAAACGGCCGACGACCGACGCGTCGCACGTCGGTGTCGTCCAGGTCGCCAGGCCCCCCATGAGCTGCACTTTCTCCGAACCGATCGCCAGTCCCAGCGCGCCGGACGTGGCCGCCACCGCGGCGCTACGTGCCAGCCTTGGGGGTGAAAGGAGGGTTGGGGGTGGAAGAGGTGAAACGCTCAGCTTAGCAGACTTTGAAATACTTGTCACAGGTCTCCCCAACCTGGAAAGCCAGAGTGAAGAAGTTTCAAATGAAACACATTGTGAAGCCTCTTAAGTGAAATACGATACATAGATCTTCGAGGTGCGTTTTTGGATGTGTTTGGTGATTGCTTTCTTTGCTGACCTTGTGGTGGCTCTTGGGTGGACCAGTTCTCATATGTCCTAAACTTTAAACATCTTGCAAGTTTGAACGTGTTTGAAGCTCTAACCAAACACAGTGCAACTGTCAAGAACACTAAGGGAACCCTTTTTGACGTTATATACATCTTGAGTGATAGATACCATGAAGTCAATCAAGTGGCTACATCAAGCTGGCGTGTGTATATATATATATATCACATAGCTTGTTTTGCAATGGCCGGGCAAGAATTGCCATCCAAAAAGGCGTCCTGTTTCCAGTCGGTCCAGTCGATCCAAGAGCGTGAGTGTCCAAACCACTCCCCGTCTTTGGCGCGTGGAGTTCTTCCAAAAGAAAGCTGTGAAGACTGTGAAGTGGCCAAGGTCTGCAGAACACCCCTTGTGCTGTTTGCTTAAGGGCGGAGGGTGGGCCGCAGCGATTGGGCCAATCCTTTTCTCAGCCCAAGGGTCGACATGGCTGCAGGATGCCGCCGTATGCAATGCTAGTCTTTGGCCGCTGCTTCGGATGGGGTACAAAGAGGTCTCATAGTTTTGCCTAGCTGGTGACCCAATAACACCTGTCCAATGCAAACATATATTGCCGCATAACTTCCGCATAATGAATCACACTGATGACTGTTGCCATTGTCGCCTTGCACGTTCTCGCATGGCCGCTCTGTCAACTATCTTTCAGCATCCTGTATCGCAACTTGGCTATGTATGTATAGCAACCTGTTCTTTCTCGGGCCAAGAATATCCTCCAATCCGTGGAGGACCGGGAGAAGCTGAGGCCCGGTGCACCGACCGTGCGAGCCGGACCGTGCGAGCCGCTTGGCCCTGGCACCGCGACCGAGCCTGTGATACGGCGCTTGGGCCACTGCAAGTCTAATGTCGTGATGAAGAAGAAAAAGGCACACGGAAACTGGTGCAACCATTTGCAGCATGTCAAGCGAAAGTCAGTTGAGAAATAGAACGAACGATCAACAAGGATAAGGGGCTATATTTCAGGCTATTGCCATTGCCAGCAGCTGAAAAACAAACATCTCTTACCTCACCCAGTCCGCGTCAACTTCACCTCCAAATGCTTTTCTCCCACTCCCTTCCGGCTTGCTTTTTGCCGGTGTCCGCCAAAACGCGCGAAACCAAACGCCCCGACTCCGCAAGACCAAACGCCGCATGAACCACAGAAACCCTAACCCCTCCCACATTCTCGCCCAATGGCTTGCGCCGCGCTGCTTTTTTGCGTCGCTTTCATTCTTCCTGTGTCGGGTCGATGGGCCATCGTCTCTCCTCGGTTCGTGAAGAGTAGGAAGACCCGGGTGTCTTGACCCGAGTCGGTGTTGGGGCAGGTTGGAGCCAAGTCGGGTCTATACATATTTATACTATATATATAAGTAAAAACATAATCAATATAGTATATATATATATATGGTTTATAGCATTCTGTAATACATAAGAGATATGATGGGGCATTATGGGGGCATGGATGAAGATTGGAGGGCCATACTCCGTCAATTTCCATCATATTCGGCAGGCTCCATGGTATACAATGTATACAGTAAGTTGTGGTCAGGGTGTTTTCAGGTTCACAATAGGTTGAAACATATTCAACAATGATTTCAATTATTCTTGAATCTTAGCAATTCAGAAGTGTGGGTGTTTCACAGGTTCTTTCGGACTTGTCGTCGATTCTGCAACGGCGGGGGGTCCCATTTCTTGATTCTGGTTGAGTCCGCACACCATTCCAAATATATTCCAGTCCCATTGACTGGCATGACCAGTGCCCTCCAAAGGATCAAACACATATGCGAAAACAGCAGCCATCTGACCTTGGACATTTAGGGTCTTTGGGGATGAAACTTTGACGGCCAAAAGGCTGCAAAGGTCACCAAACGCTTCACCATCTGCACGTACTTCCGGGTGGTCTCATCCTGCACATCACCCCATACGCGAGGTGCTTTGGGACAGTCCAGGGATGACCTGCTCGTGTATTTAGTGCATGACTGCAGTCCAGGACGCTCCTCATCCCTCAAAACTTGGGGGTGATCGACTACAGGATGTGACACTTGTGACACAGCATGACCACGCGTTGAAAGTCTGGTGAGCATCAATCACCTGCAGGACTCCTGACTCGACTCCTGCAAAGTCCGGCGTGTCCCTTCCCAAACATGCCAGTAGCACATCCAACACGTGGGCTTGAGCACCTTCTCCAATCCTGAGACCAACTCAACCGACCTGGATTCCATGCATGAGCTAGTTTTCTCTGGACGGCATCCGGTGCAGGGCGCGCCGGATGGACCGAAACTCCACATATATATATATATTATATCCATCGCTAATCTTTTTTTTGCTAAGGCGAGCAAAAGCCCATATAATTTTATAATATACACTATTATATCCGCCGACCCCAGCCGATGGGGGAGCGCGCCAGAGAATATATATAATTCATTCTAATTGTATTTTTTTGAATCAATGTTTTGCACTGCATCTCTTGACACTGTGATTTCGGCCGGCAAGCAGGACCTATGCCATCCAGTGAATGTAAACTCGTGTAACATAGTTATTAGATGTTATTAGTTGAATTAGTAGTAGAATGTTGTAGATAGTTGTAGTGTGAATGGGGCAAAAATGAACCAAACACAAGAGCAAACCGTTGCTGCATTGGAACGTGAACCCCCTAAGACAAACAACAGCACAAAAAGCATCTATGGAACTATCGAACTTCTCTGTTGAATCCAGCTGGAAACTTGTACTCAAAGCACCTGCACTGTTTTCCAACCAAGCTCTGCATCGATCAGCTCGGCTAAACCTGCACATTTCTCTCCAACTCAACTCGGCCTCAGCTCGTGGGGCCAGAGCTACGTGCCATCATGGCCTCGGCGGTATATCGCATGCCCAAGCCCTCCGACAAACGCTTCTTCCTCTCCTCGTTCAAGGCACGACGCTCCTCCAGTTCCTGCGCGCGGAAGGTGGCCTTGGCAGCTTCCCGTTCTTCTCGCTGATCTGGGGGAATCAGGACATCCACGGCTAAGTTCAAATGTTTTTCCCAATTGGCTCGCTCTTCCGCTGTACTGAACTCCAACTGCGTCACGGGCTGACCCTTCATGGAGATTTCCAGCTGGGAGCCATGAAGACTGCGGATGCACATGATCTCTGCCAAGGAAAAGTGCCCCTGCTCGACCGGCTGTCCGCCACGTTGCTCAAGACTCGACCATGCCAAGTCTTGACTTTGGAGCGACAGCCAAGCCCGAAGCTTGTGCCGCTCGGTCGAGAGGCCGAACATCGTGGCCTTCGGTGGAAACAGGATCACAACACCAACACCATCCTCCATTTTGGACCGGATGGACTCAAATTCGCTACTTCTTTGCCCCATTTCACGGCATTGTGGGCACCTGGAGCCGCAGAAACAGCCGATCCCTGCCACCGTGAACGCCCCGAGGCATGCAGCGCAAAAGTAACGGTCGCATGGGCCACAAATCTGACGTCGGCGCAGCATGCCAAATTGTTCACCACAACCTTCACAGCGCGAGCCATCTGATGGGACAGAGCGATTGGTGATCAAGTTGGCACGAGATTGCACTCCCCCGGCAAGGGCTTGCAATGCTCCGCGAGCCCTGTGGGCGCCAGCTTGCACAGCCAAACCAGCAGCTGTCCAGCTTGCAGGTGTGTCCTGCGACTCTCGCAGCTGGGAGGCAACCGATGCGAAGTTCATGGCATGTTGTGATCTGTGAATCTGTGAGAATCTGTTGACTTGCCGACCCTTGAACTTTTGCAGTACCTAGCGACCTTACTTCCCGCCAGCCAACAACCTCATCTGAGGTTACGTGAACTATGGCACAACACTATTGATAACTTGTTTCATGACACCAAAAGCTTGAGATCTCCAGAGATCGTGTAGTAGCTGCCGCTTCTGTCTGACACACACAGCCACGGTTGCTTATTATGTTATATCTGCAAAACCCCATTGACATTTGTTTTGATCGTAAAAGACCCTATTTTGAGTGATTGGTCCCAAATAGGTCCTTCAGGTTGTTGTAAGATGTTGTAAGTATACAATGTATAAATATGTATAATATATAGCCCACTCCATGTCGTGGAACATATGCCGCCCTAGGGGCGCTTGCCAATGAACTACTGACCCGCAGTCCCTGGGTTGGAAAAGGAGGGTTAGAAAAGACACATGCCCAGACCTTTCATGGACTGGAATGGTTGCATACATTTACCCCATTCATCACCAATATACAGGTCATTCTTCCAGTCGCAGGGATGGTCTGGCACCAAAGGCACCGTGGTTTCAGAGCTTCGATGGCACTGGCACCCCCCAATGCGATGGTGTCTTAGTAGATTTTTGTCGGGGGTCGATATATTTTCAGCACACAACTTGGACATTTGTGCCATCTCCTCTCAACCCACTATATTGGACAACCCACTATATATATTGATACTACATTGGACCCCCATATAAAGGCCAGCGGCCATCCGTAAAACCGTGGTATAAGATCGTATAGGCATCTTTTGCCTTGGGTTTCTCACTCGATCGACTCTTGAAACCAAACACCGGGTCGTCCGAGGCTCTTGTGCCGTGCAGCTCGGTCGTGGAAGGTCACGAAGGTCACCTCACCGGTCGGCCAGACAGACGTGTTACTTGCAAAGCTATCTGCTTGGATTCCGGCATGGATGGTCTCTGCAATGCATGGCTTCACATATGACTTCTGAATGCTTCTGATATCTTCTGATCAGTGGTATCTGTAGCATCTCCTTGTTCTCGCGTGTCCAGTATACATCAAGTTCCCCTGTCTTAACAAACAAAGTGGTCATATCAAGGACCCCACTGCCCCCTCAGCTTCACACTCCCATAGGCCACGGGTGGTTGCCAATCGCCAAGCGCATGTATGCCTCGATCCATTTGATCCCAGGTTGGTGAGGTCAGGAGGCGGCAAGACTGCAGAAAAACCGTGGGTGCATCAACCCTTCACGTCTAGTGAACCTATGTGAACCTGTTCATCTCATTGGATTTGACCTTTTGAATAACTGGGGACAGCAAGTTTCTCTTCCACCGGTCTTCTTCCAGAGTCCAATGGAATATCGCAGAAGCACTCGACCCACCTCCTTGGCAGCTCTGTAGCGGCGCTGACTGCCTAAGAACCAACAGGACATGTACTGGAAAAAGGTTGGAGAACACTGGACATGCAGAACGCACCCAAAACCCAACTTCCATGCGTTGAGGTTTCCACCATCTCCAAGGGCCGGACTGTCCTTAGCAATTTCGGCCAACGAGAAAATGACTCCAGCATCCACTTCGCCATCCTCAGCAGCCACGTATTCCCGCACGGTCCACGCACCGCGCGTGGCGAACGCTCCACGCCACGCAGCGTGGCCACGCAGGTTCGCGGCCCCGACACGCAAGGCTCGGCGAAGCGGCTTCAAGTATTGCTTCCTGGGTGGCGAGGCAAGGATGCATGTGAGATCTGGAAATGCTGTGCATACATAGTTGGCATATGTATATATAATTATGTATACACATACAGACATATTCA